CGCGTAGACGTTTGGAAATGGTTTGCCGCGTTACTCCCAACTGAGCAAACTCTTTTTGCGTTTGTGCCGAATTCTCAGCGAGCGGTTGCTCCAAGATCATCGCAGTCGCAATTCTGAGGACCTCTAGGACATTGTCTGTCGGTCAGACTGAAATCGCCGCTTAAATACGCGCACATTGCATGATACAACACATTCGCGTAGAAATGAACAAATCGCACGCTTTTGCAGAATTTTTTGGAAAATTCGTGGAAAATATAGTGTACAGATGTGTACGAAATCCGTTGCCATTTTTGACGCTACTGAACTGACTGAATACTTTTACGTTGGGCCTGCTAAATGTCACTTTAAAAAGCTGTATGTCAACGCTACATGACAACTGCGGAAGAATGGGAAAAAGCTGAAAATTTTACCGACAGAACACTGACATTTTTCTGCAAAGTTTACGTCGTATTGGTTACACAGAATTACAAATGCTTTTACGCAATGAAAATACGTGCAAAAATAAATAGGAGCATTGCTCGATATGTGATGAAAACAAACAAAAAATTTTTAATGTAAAATCTCAAGCTGTCAGTTAACGTAATATTTGCCTATACAAAAGTATTTGCTAATACAAAAGTTCTGCAGTTTGTACATACCGAAAGTGTAGATTCTCCAAACAGAAAAATTTTAAAAACATTACCTTCGCATCTGCACTTGTAAGCTTAAGAATATCGAAAAAGTTTGCAGAAAGATTTCTACACATATATGATTAGGTTTTCCATTGAATATGGTAAAGCAACACACATTCATGTAAGTTTTGTATATACAAGAAATACGAAAAGGATAGCGTGATTATGTTAGTGACGATCGTCTCTGCATTATCGACATTGTTCGAGTTCGTCATCGACTCTAGCATTGTCTATCTCCTTTTTAATGACGTCAGAAGCGAGGAAATGCATGTTAAAAATTCTTGCGAAATACGTTGAAATAAAAATATGTATCCATAAAGTAACACTTGCAATCGATTAAACAAATTTATAAGATATTCCGTGCGCTCCCTTTCCGCTCTAACAATAAAATTACAATAATTTATCTGAATAAATTAATCTGAATGCGAAGAAATAGGTTAAGAAGATGAAGTGTATGTCACGTTAATTTACGACAAATTATTGATTATTAAAGCGAAAGAGAAATGCACGGAATACCATATTTCAAAGATTTATTTAATCGATTGCATCACTTTATAGATATATCTTTTTATTTCAACGTATTTCGTAAGAATTTTTAGCATGCATTTTCTCGCTTCTGACCTCATTGAAAAGAGATAGACAATGCTAGGGGCCAGGAGCCTTAAACTTGATCTACAATGTGTTATTTGCTTCTTGTTTCTTTTTCTTTATCTCTTTCTGATTCACACCTTAAGCTTTAAGGTTTAAGTTTTTATCTACAATGTGCTCTTTGCATTCTGTTTCTTGTCTTCTGTCTTTTTCTGGCTTAAAGCTTAAGGTTTGAGTCAGAAAGAGATAAAGAGAAAGAAGCAAAAAGCAAAGAACTCATTGTAGATCAAGCTTTAAGCCAGAAAAAAGACAGAAGACAAGAAACAGAACGCAAAGAGCATATTGTAGATCAAGCTTTAACTAAATATTTTTACAGCTTTCCTGTCTCCAGGAGGACAATTCGAATTATGCGTGAAATATAAAGAAAGTGCTCGCGCACAAAAAAGCGAGAGGAATTGTTGCCTAATGCAATCGCCCGATGCAGTGCGCTTACGCAACGAGCGCGGCCGAGAAGAGACGCGTAACAACGGTCCGCGTGTGAATCACGATTGGTTATCTGTCAATGGACCTTCCACTCCTTTCTGACGATCAATAAGCAAATAAATGCCGAGCGGAGGTGCGCGCGATGTAACACGAAAAGAGCGAGGCGCGACCGAACGAATACGTGTCCTTCATTATCACACGCGTGTGCATGTAACACGCACATTACACGACGTTATTGCTATCAACTAGAAAATGTCTTCTTCTTCTTCTTCGAGCAATTATGCATCGCGATTAATATCATTGAGCGACCAGAGGCGAAACAGAGACATTAAATGCTTTCGTCAAGTTACGTCACTTCTCCCTACGATTCACTTAACTTCGCGGAAAAGTGAGAGAACACGGAGATATTTTATGTCCCGTAACATGTCCCGTGGTCTGTCCTTTTCAGCTGCACTGCTAAACTGGTGCAATAAGTTAAGGTGAGACAAATATATGTTTTCTCACTCTAACTTATTGCACCAGTTCAGCAGTGCGGCTGAGAAGAACAGACCAATTGTTCGATCAGTCGGCGAATCGCACGTCTCTTAAGCGTGATCTACAATATGCTCTTTGCGTTCTGTTTCTTGTTCTCTGTCTTTTTTTTAGTTTAAAGCTTGATCTACAATGTGTTCTTTGCTTCCTGTTTCTTTTTCTTTATCTCTTTCTGACTCAAACCTTAAGCTTTAAACTAGAAAAAGGCAGAAGACAAGAAACAGAATGCAAAGAGCATATTGTAGATCAGTCTTAAGGCTAAAGGGTGAGTCAGAAGGAGATAAAGAAAAAGAAACAAAAAGCAAATAATACATAACAGATCAAGTTTTAAAAGCTATGCCGATCGTTCATCACGTCGCTTTTGTCTTCATTTTTTTAGTATATCTTGTTTGAGTTTTCTTAATTACGCAAGTCACGCCCACGACGCGTTTTTCTTCTTCGGCCTGGGAGAAAAATATCTGTGTTTTAACTAACGAATAAGTCATGTTCCAACGTTGTGTCCGATTTGACGTTTTCCGATCAAGCGTTTAATACCTTTAGTCGATGAAATGCAATTTGGTCGAATATCGCACTCGATCGGATAAAAAGAGGACGGTTCCTCTGACTCGCCTAAATGTACGACTAGAGATCATTTGGCGCAAGCTGATATCCGATCAAATCGAATGATATCCGATAAAGTCGACGAACCAGATATATGCCGACCACATCTCACGGGACATAAAAAATTGATCGGAGATATACGTTAATTAACTTTTCATCAGTATATCTGTTTGTTGAAACTCGGATTTTTCTCCCGGTGTGGAGAGAGAGCTGAAGGTCGATTTTTCTCCACCTTCTAAAGAGGTAAACAACAGTTAAATCATACGTCTGCCTTTGTCTAAAGTTCTGCGTACAATGGAGAAAATATTAGGAATAGGAATAAAATTATTCAAGAAGTTAAAGGCTCTTCAAATGTACAATAAAACAATATAAGAAAAAGGCTAATAAGAACCAACCGCCGATCGCACAGGCTAAGTTACATATTTAGCGAAACCGTTAATATTAAATATAAAAAAAGGAATAAAATTAAATATTAAGTAAACGTATTTTATACCTAAAATAAATTATTTTTCATATCTCCTAATATTGCATTAGGAGATATTTATTATTTTTACTTTTGACTTCTAATTCGCAATTTGCAGTACGTTAATCTCTGTTCTGTTCCTTTAAATAATTTCGTTTTATTAGGTCACTTAATATTTACTTCTATTCCTAATATGTGCTCCATTGGCAGAGCCTTATTTGAAGGATAAGCCAAGGCAGGCATATGATTTCACTAGTTAGCTCACCAAGAGGCTGGGGAAATCGGTCCTAGGTCGGAGAAATTGCCGAGGTTCGTCTGCGAATTACGACGGTCGCGTGTTATCCACGAACATCGCGCGTTCTGCCACTTCGGCGGCCTCGGAGGCCGCGAAGGCGCTACTTCGCGTTCCTCGTACGCGTGATTACGCACTTTGCAGGCGATTGATAAATGCTCTTCCGCCCACTCGACGCGGCGGCGGCGGCGGCGGTCGCTTTCGGAGTTTCTTTGAGAGCGAGCGCGCTAAGGAGAGATCGCGCTTGCGTCATCGCGCTCTCTGTCGCGTCACGATCGTCAGCCGGACGATTCCGTATCGATCGTACAAAGAGAGAGAACGATGCATCCTCGTCGCGAATACGACGAGGCGAACGGTTGTTACGCGTGTTCTCCGTTAGAAAAATCAGCAATGCAGAAAGCAAATCTATGAAATTAACACCGCGATTCTGTTCCTCTTTATAACTTCACTTGGTTCCCTCTCTTTCATCTTCTGATAGACTCATCACGCTTTTTAAACTTCGGGCCGATAAATCGCCCCCGCGACCTCGCACCCCGTTCTCTCCCCCGTTACCCACGAGAAAACTCCGAGCACGACCACGTGCCTCGTCCTACACGCACGTGAGGCCACGTGCGGCTATTGTTTACCTGTGCGTGAGGCATCGCGACGACAAGCAGAGTCGGCCGTCTCCAAATACGATTGTCGCGTTTTCCACAGGACGCCCGCGCGCGCGCGTACGTACGAATGTGTGTACATAACAAAGAGACGCTCTTCACGGTGCGTGTCACGCGCTGCGCCAGCCCGCATCAGAAGCGGGTGACAGCGAACCGGGCGGTCTGCCGCCGCCGCCGCCGTCGCTTATCACCCTAATAGACGTGCGCGCATGTGAACTGCACGCACGCACGCATATGCGTGGACAGACGCTCGCGGGACGCAACGTCCGTGGCGATCCACGACTCGGTCTCTTTACACGAACGTCTCGCCGTCTCGTGTGCACGACGCGACGGTGGAATAGGAACATCGTGCCGGCGTACACAGACAGAGACGCACACTGACGCGCGATTGTCGTAACACACAGCGGCGTAACGCACGCACACACGTACGCTAGCGCGCGCTCTCTCCCCTTCGCTCTCTCTCTCTCGCTTCTTCTTTCATTTCTTTCTCACTCTCTTTCCATCTCTCTCTCATTTTCTGTCTCACTCACTCACTCACTCTCTTAGATTCTTGTGTATTTTTTACGCACAAAGTATTGAATCTCTCTTTCTCTCCCTCTTTCTTTCCCTCTCCTACCTTTTGCTGTGTACACACAATGTCGCTTAACACTATCGTTGATGCGCGCGCGCTTACACACCGGGAGAAACTTACACATGTTCGAAGCGCGTATGTCGCTTACCTTGGTATAGTGATGCACTTGGTGTTGCAACTCTGCGTCGTGATGGCCTTCTCGAGCTCCTCGAGGCCCGCGGACTTCTTCAGCTTCTTCACCAGGCTCTTAACGGCCTTCTCGCTCCATTTGTCCTCGCTCTCGGCCTTCTTCCAGCCCAGCAGCCGCTTGACGATAGGCGGGTTAAAGCTGGGCAGCATCGAAGTCATCATTTGCCCTACGACGAGCGCGCGCGACCCGCATCGGGCCGCTCCGACGGGTTGTCGCGGGGCGCGTACGGACTGTGTCGCGCGATTGCTCGCCCGAGGGACCCGGCTTGCGCGTTGGCGGCCGTGCGCCGATCACCGACACCGTGACTCGCGCTCCGTACCGACAATGCGTAAATCGCTCTCACGCAGACGGCGAAAATTTTGCCACGGCCGCCATAGTGTGCCCTGTGCGTGGCTCGGCCCGACTCGGCCGCTGTCGGCGCTCTTCGCGGATGTCATGCGACTAGCGACTGCTAGACGCGACGCTCGCGTTCCGCGGCGCCTGTGGCGCCATCTGTGGTCGGGCCGGGCACAACCTCCACTCCTCACCGATTGGTCCATCGAGTTGCGTCGCATAGAGAATTTCCCGGAATCCTCCAACGGGTTTCGCGGTGCTCTGGTAACTTCTACTCTCCAACCAATCGGCGACGCTGTTCAGCGACAGATAACGCGTTAACCTTAGGGTGCGTTCAGATTCTTCATTCGTGTGCATTCTATTACTAGAAACACTATAGTATATGTTACATATGCTATAGCACTTCTAGTAATAGAATACACCCGGGTGTGGAATCTGAACGCAGCCTTAACGGGAAGACCAATCGCAAAACAGCATACATTTTTTTTAATGATGTCGGTGTTCTCAGTATTTCCGGCACTTCGCAGCGTGTGTCCAGCAGTGTCGTATTTCTGTCATTTTGTTATATTAGTGTGAAAGTGTGTATCGCAAATTTAACAGCTTTAATTTATGTTCGGAAATAAAAGAACATTTGTCTACGTTAGTTTTGTAATCGATTGATGCAATACTTTTGTGTACTATTGTGATAATAGCTGAACTTTTGATCACATTTAGATGCCATGACTTTTGAAGGTGAGTAAAATTTCTATAGGATCTCCCACTTTTATCTTAATTAAAATTATCAATTAATATCAATCAATATTATCTATTTCTTGCTCAATATTGTATTAAATTGTTATAAGCATAGTTTTTCTGGATATATTTATAACTAATATTCTGATTTATGTGCACAGAATATAGAAAAACAATATAAGCAAGTGTTTCTTTTGTCTGTTTGCCAAGAATTTAGCTAAAGAAGTCTCATATCTTTTACATAAAATGTTGTTTGCTTTAAGACATGAAGAGTGACTCAGACGAAGAAGGTGATAAATCAAGAAGTGCTAGTCCTGACTCACAAAGGTCAGCTAGTGTAGCAAGGAGCAGATCGAGATCAAAATCAAATTCTGCCAGTCCCAAATCCTCACCAGCCAGGTAATATCAATCAATCAATTTATTCTTTCTTCAGCATAAGCCAAGAAGTAGGGACTTGGTTTATAATTTCTGCCTTTATTCACACATTCATCCCATGCATATATCCATTCCTTCGCTTCCTTATCTCTAACTTAATTTAATCTCTTCTAAGTCTACTTTATCCTAACTTTGTACATTATATTTTTTCATCCATTATACTTTTCATTTCTTCATTTTTTTTCCATTTTTCATCCCTTAATTTCTTTGCTTTTTCTTTTTCTGTCTATAATTTACTAATTGCCCATCCTTTTTTTCCATCTAACTCTTCATTCCAAATCTTCTTTATTCTTTCTTCCTCACTTTTTCCCAAATCTTTGAACCACTTCCTTGCTATTTCACATTCCTTCACAAAGTGATTTATGCTATCTCTATCTTTCTGCCAGTCAGATAATAAATTTTTCATTTTTATCTCCACTTAATTATCTAAATATCTTTTATAAAGTTTACTTTATAACTTATATATATGTTATATTTTTTTATAACTTATATTTTTAGGTCCAATCCATCGTCTCCTGTACGGAATGGATCACCAGCTTCTGTTCATTCCAATGCTAGTTCCAGGAAATCTTATTCTAGAACACCATCCAGATCGCCATCGCCAAGTAGATCAGTTTCTCCATCAAATGCAAAACAAGGACGATCTAGATCAAGCTCTAAATCTGGGTACAGAAGAAGTACGTCGAGATCACGTTCCAAGTCTCATTCGCCGGCACCTACGGAGAAAGATATAAGAAATAGCTCGCAATCGCCACACTCGCATCGCTCTGTAAAGTCAGGCTCAAGATCCCGAAGTTCTTCTCCATCCGGATCTAGGAGAAGTTCTCGCGCAGCATCGAGGAATAACTCGCGTTCCCGATCCCGATCAACTTCAGTGAAGCTCGATAACTCTCCATCCAAAGATACTTCGCCAAAAACAAATTTTCGGTCGCCCTCAAGGTCTCCCTCGCCGCAGGCTGTCTCCAAATCACGATCTCGCTCAAGATCACGATCTCGGTCAAAATCACGTTCTCATTCGAGATCACGTTCTCGATCCCGTTCTGGCTCCCCGAAAGAAACTATTCGCTCACCTTCTCCACCTGGTACCCCCAAGTCTTCCCACACAAGATCCAGATCTAGATCTAGATCAGGATCGGCTAGCCTGAAAATTAAAGGTGGCTCAAGGTCAAGATCGAGATCTCCGTCCGGATCGAGAAAAGGTTCTCCTTCACCTCCGGCATCGCCAAGTGGATCGCCAGCTCGACAATCACGTTCAAGATCGAAATCACGCTCGAGATCCAAATCAGGCTCTGCGAAAGGCTCTCCCGAATCAAGGAAGAGTTCCCGTTCCAGGTCTCGTTCCAATTCGGTGGAAAGAAAATCTAAATCAAGATCTAGATCGAGATCTGGCTCCGGATCTAGGAAACAATCGAGATCACCCTCGGCGGAAGGACGAGTTTTATCACGTTCGAAGTCCAGATCAAAATCTAGATCGGTATCGGGTTCGAGGAAAGGCTCACGCTCAAGATCGCGATCCAGATCACGCAAATCCGGGTCAAGATCTAAATCAAGATCCGTGTCAAGGTCGCGTAAAGGTTCCGCATCTCCGGCGCACTCGGGAAGGAATTCACGTTCCAGATCCCGATCCAGCTCGCGTTCCAGTAAATCGAAGTCCCGTTCCGGCTCAAGGGCGTCTCGCTCAAGATCTCGTTCTGGATCTAGGAAATCCGTTTCGAGGTCAAGATCACGTTCGAGATCGAAATCTGGCTCAAGATCACGTTCACCTTCACGCTCAAGATCAAGGTCGGGTTCTAGGTCGAAATCGAGGTCGAGGTCGAGGTCGAAGTCAAAATCACGCTCAAAGTCAAGATCACGCTCGAGATCACGATCAGGTTCGGCGGTCAGACATTCGTCGCGTTCTAAATCGCGATCTAGATCGAGATCTAGATCAGTCTCTGGCTCGAGAAAATCCAGAAGCCCTAGCAGGGATTCGGAGGGCGCCGTCAGGAAACGAAATAGAGTACTATCAGACTCTGAAGAAGATGATGAAGGAAATAAAACTAAAAAACGGTCGAGGCACGGATTATCAGATTCTGAACACGAGGATCGGGAAGATGAAGACAGGAAGAAAAAAGATGACGCACATCACGAGGGAGAAGATGAAGATCAGGAACGTAAACAATTGGATGATGAAACTGAAGTTAATGAACAACAGGATAATGCAGATTCCGATGATGGCATTATTCCAGATGGTGGAATGTGAGTATATATTCAACTACAGCTACATGAAAGTGAATTTCTGAAAAATCTTTATTATAAATAATTACACATTGTTATATATTCATATATTATTGTAAAAAGTATATAATTTTTAAAAAATTAGATATATTACTTGCTTTTATATGAAATATATAATTATCACTTCACAATATACATGAAGTAATGTAATATAATATATTATTAATATATGCTATCCAGGAGCAGCAGATATTTGTAAGTAAAAGATATATGCATGTAAAAAGGTAGAATAATTTTGTTTTTCCAAGTATTTTTTACATACACTTAAGAACAAAATTGATTTCTAAATTAATTAATAAAAACTTTTGTTTAGCTCCTAATAAACTATCATCAATATTTCATGATAACATTTTTTTATTAGGTAAATAATCATAATAATATTTATGAGGCAAGTTGCACATGATGGAAAAGCAAAATAAAATATAAAATTATAAAGAAAAATTCAGTATTATTGAGACTGTATATGTGTGTGGAAGAAAAAAAAATTATTATTGAATTCGATTTTTTCAGGGATGATTCGATGTCCGATTTCGATCGCATGTTGGCGCGGAAAAAAGAGGAACAATCTCGAAGACGTAAGCGCAAAGACATCGATATCATTAACGATAACGATGATATCATAGCGCAACTGTTGTCTGATATGAGAGGTGCGGCTGATGAAGATAGAAAATTAAATCAGCAAAATAAACCAGCCACAAATAAAATCGCCATGTTACCGAAAGTATTGTCGCAGTTGAAGAAGCATGATTTGCAATTGGCCTTTTTGGAGCACAATGTACTGTCCGTTCTTACAGATTGGTTAGCACCGATGCCTGACCGATCGTTACCATCTCTCAAGATTAGAGACAATCTTCTGAAGCTCTTATGGGAGGTAATAAATTAAATATGTGAAATCTCGCGTGCATTTGATTAAAGTAATTTTAATAACGCCATATTATCTGTTTATAGTTCCCAAAAATCGATCAGATTTCGCTGAAACAGTCTGGCATCGGAAAAGCCGTGATGTATCTTTACAAGCATCCGAAGGAAACAAAAGAGAACAAAGAGCGTGCTGGCAAGTTGATCAGCGAATGGGCCCGACCTATTTTTAATTTGTCTACCGATTTTAAAACGTTGTCCAAAGAGGAGAGGTTACAAAGGGATCTAGAACAAAGACCTCAGAAGAAAAGGAAAACCGACGACGCGGGATCTTCCCAAAAGTCACAAGATATCAATAAAGCCTTAAAGGGAGATGCTAAGTATGTTATCGATAATTAACGATATTATAATGACATGATTCATAATTATCGCTATTCTAATTATAATTATTTTAATGTAGAAATAATTATAAATAATTATTCAAATATAAAATAATTTTAAATAATAAAATAGAAATAATTATAATTATTTTATTATTTGAATATAGACCACTGAGACCAGGAGATCCTGGATGGGTAGGCAGAGCTCGAGTTCCTAGACCATCTGATAGAGATTACGTCGTACGACCCGACTGGAAAACGGATATTGATATCACTAGAGTATGCGATTTATTTATTCAAAATGTTCATGATATTCTTCATACTACATATACACGATTTGTAATCTATTATTGTTCCCCGTAGAGCACAAAGAAGCCGTTGAGCCGATTCGAGAGACACATGAAGAACTATATGGACAGCAAACGAATGAAATCAGCCAGGAGAGCAGTGCATATATCTATAGAGGGTCGCAAGATGTCTCTATAATGTTTTCCTTACACCTTACACATATAGAGAGGAAATATTGAAATATAACTTTTAACAATGTCCATTATCTTTCGATTTACACGATTGCACAGAGGCAATATAGTGCAATTGATTTAGTACATGTTTCTTGCGTTGCGATTGCGTATTTACCTAATACGAAACAAATTAATTTTTGCAGGAAACGTTTTTAGAAACGTTTTCTATGGAAAATTATTCGCAATCATTGACACTATCGTATGGATAACACAAAGAATTTAATGTGGTATGTTTAAGAAATTGTTTTAATTAATTCCTATGAGTGACAGAACAGCGAATAGTTATATTAAAAATATCTATTGAATAAAGTATTTTTTATTTTTAGCTTATATCTCTAAAACTAGGATTAATAAAAAAATTGTATTCTAAATCTAATTTACTGTCCCTCCTTTATATAATTAGAGTAAGAAAGAAGAAAAGATTAATATATTACTATATTTCGGTTTGTCTGAAATTATATTACAACTATGTAAACATTTTCTTTATTTGTGTAAGAGCACATTGAAAAGGTAACATCATTCACATTTTAAATTGAGCGCCGAAAAACAATGGCCTCACTTCCGTGCACGATGGCGGAAACTCTCTTCCTTTTCGTCGTTGTGAGAGGCATCCGGCACGATGAAAGCCAAGGGTGAAGTAAGTAATTTTGCAAATATTTTTGAAAATAACAAGCAAGAAAAATGTCAGAAACTATTTCTCCTCCCTCACGCGTCAGGCATCCATAAAGAATCTATATGAAATCACTAACTGGAGTTTTGGATCGTGAAATTTAGCGGAGCCTAACCTATGTCGTGCAAGTCACACATGCTCGCATGATTTTCCGATTGATTTAGAACGAAAATCTGCTAATAATCATTTTCTTTGTTTTCTTATTTCCAGTTGAAGGAATTCGAAGTGATAGGGCGTAAGCTCCCTACGGAGAAGGAGAAAACTACGCCTTTATACAAAATGCGAATATTCGCTCCCGATGCTATTGTCGCAAAGTCCAGATTTTGGTATTTCTTGCGCCAATTGAAGAAGTTTAAGAAGTCTACTGGAGAAATTGTATCTCTCAAGCAGGTATTTATGATGAAGTTATGTTGTAAAGAATATTGCCTATTCACAATGTTCCTAAAGAATATTGTCTAATAGTATATAATTGCTGTTGATTCTCTTACTAATAACAAAGACTTAATATATAGAATAAATATTTTAGATCCCGGAGAAAACGCCTGTTAAAATCAAGAACTTTGGAATCTGGCTGAGATATGACTCTCGTTCCGGCACACACAACATGTACAGGGAGTATAGAGATCTCTCTGTCAGTGGAGCTATAACTCAGTGTTATAGAGACATGGGTGCACGTCATCGTGCAAGAGCACACTCCATCCAGATCATTAAGGTGGAAGTTGTGAAGGCTGCAAACTGCCGTAGACCACAAGTCAAACAGTTCCATGACTCCAAAATTAAGTTCCCGCTGCCTAAGAGAATCCATCACAGAAATCGTATGCCATTGTTCAGCGTTCGTAAACCACGCACGTATTTCCTCTAAATTTTAATGGCATAACATTGTATATTACACTAAAGGAAATAAAAGTGCATTCGATATGTAATTTTTTGTAATCAGTATGCAATTTATTTTTTTACATGTATTCCCATTCTGATATAAGTTCGACGATCAATTTTATATTTGGAAGAATATATGAATTATATAAAAGTAACGCTTAAAGATCTTAGAATTCAGTTTTATTTAAAAAAAGAAACGTTTCGCAATTGTTATTCACCGCTTAGTCCTTACGATTATTTCATGTATGTGTGCAAAAGGTAAGGTAAGCTTGCAAAAGGATAAATAAAAATATAAATCACAAGAAAAAACGTCTTTTAAAGTAATGATGCTTTTCATGCTGATTTTCAAAAAGATTCAATTAGAATAAAAATTAAGAAGTTACACGTAACGGAGATATATACTTCAATAACAATTTTCGCGATTACCAAAGCGTAGTAGGAAAAAATTGACCAATCATACTGGATTTTTACAAGAATAATCGATTGTGATTGGTTAATTTCTTATTGCTGCGGCGTACGGTTCTTCATTGCAGATGGCTCTGCATGCTTCTGACTATTTACGCTACAAGTATTGTCGATTGGCTGATGAATAGAATTCTCCTAAAGTCCCTACTTTTTTTCTAAATACTCCAGAAATTCACTATTCGACAACCAATTAGAGCGGCCGACAAGCTTGTCGCACGCACATATAATCTTGGCCTAAAGCGCTCAATGAACTACTTTTTCTGATGCCGAATGCAGCCATTCCTATACTTGGCTATTTAATTACAAACACATTTGTTTGCTCTGTACAAAGTAAACGGAACGATGAAAGCCAAAGGACCAGTAAGTAATTTTTGCGAATTTCTTGACTAAATGCAGAAATCATTTCTTTTAATCTGAGGCGACAGTCGTTCAGTCAGAATTTATAAAAATCGCTAAATTAAGTTTTGGGTTTGATATTGGACTCGGTATAACCTATAACGTGCATGCCAACGTGTTATTCCGGTTTAATTATTCGAACTTGTTTAGACGTAATCGATGATTTTTTTTAGAATATCTTGAAATTATTTCCAAGAAACATTTAAGAACAAAGTTTGAAAAAGATTAAGAGAAAAAAATATTAGAAGAAAACTGTGTCAAATGGCCACAAATATCGGGGAAAGCTAAAGACACAGTGACATAGTCGCCAAACAAGAAAAAAATTTGACACGCATATTAACTTTCCAATTAACTTAAAAGTCTAGTAACAATTATTCTTTTTTGACATTTTCAGTTAAGGGAATTCGAAGTCATAGGACGTAAGCTCCCAACGGAGAAGGAGAAAAATACGCCTTTGTATAAAATGCGAATATTCGCTCCTGATGCAATTGTTGCCAAGTCCAGGTTTTGGTATTTCTTGCGTCAGTTGAAAAAGTTCAAAAAGTCTACCGGAGAAATTGTATCTCTCAAACAGGTACTTATTTCAACAGAGTGTTATCATTATAATTATTAATGAATAACTTTTATTTTGTTAGTAGATATACAGTAACACAATTGTATTAAACAAATACCTACTAAAATACAATTAGATACGTTGATACGTTGATTTAGATACGTCTTTGATTATTTTATTATCTGTGGTAACATGAATATAACATGAAGAATAAATATTTCAGATTCCACAAAAAACTCCAATTAAAATCAAGAACTTTGGAATTTGGTTGAGATATGACTCTCGTTCTGGGACGCACAATATGTACAGAGAATACAGAGATCTCTCTGTTAGTGGAGCTGTAACTCAGTGTTATAGGGACATGGGTGCGCGTCATCGTGCAAGAGCACACTCTATCCAGATTATTAAGGTGGAAGTTATAAAGGCTTCAAACTGCCGTAGACCACAAGTCAAGCAATTCCATGATTCCAAGATCAAGTTCCCTCTGCCTAAAAGAATTCACCATAAAGATAGAATGCCATTGTTTAGTGTTCGAAAACCACGTACCTATTTCCTTTAAATATTATCTACATTGTACATAACATTAAAGGAAATTTAAGCATTTGAAATATAACTATAATCAATATATATAGTTCCTTTCATTGTTGAGCATTTATAATTTAATATGATTAAATAAGTTTTAAATGGAAGAGAAGATGTGAGATATATAAAAATAAAACTGTTTAAACTTTCAGTTTCTAAAGTTTGTACTTACAATTTTCCTTTACTGCTTAGTATCAGGTGTATCATTTGCATAAATAAAAGTTTCACTCCTTCAAGATCATTCTTTGCAGTTGTTAACTTAAACCTTGCTTATTCACAAGAGTATCAATATTAAAAAGGATAACTGTCTTTTATTTGATACAATAATGTTTCTCATATTAATCTTCAACAAAATTTATGGTACATGACTTAAAAACTAAAAATGTAACAAAAATATAAGATGCCAATGACAGGTTTTTACATATATGAAATTCTCACACTTCAGTACAATTTAATAGTCACATGTGTGCAAATGTCACGTATATTTCCGTTACAAGTTATGACTCATAAAACTACGTGTATCATCGTCTTATCGCCGTATAGAAGCGATCCCGGGGAGATACGTGATACATTGTAAGTTCATTGTGTTTATTTACTTGAACTTCCACATTCTATCAGTCAATTCAAATTGAACGAATAAAATGAGTGATTTCACGCGCGACATTACATTAAAACACCGTGTTTATATCGTATCGCGTCATCTGTATTAATTAGGTTATATCAAACGTGCTGTATCAGTTGTCTCACATTATATGCCAGCGTAATAACGTCATCAGAAATTCGTGATAATGTTCAAGTTCACGATGCAAATCAGTGTTGCATCAAAAACTTTACATTTAACAGTAAATCGAATTACACTCACCGAGCACAGACATCACGACTGACAAATTCCTCACACGATTCTGCGATAAAAACTTTCTGTCTGATTTTACTCTGTTAATGTCAAGACGTCGTTCATAGCGTTGTAACATCACTTGTGATGTGAATCATTTGTTGGCAGAATAAATGGGCCAATCTCATAACACTAACATGACCTCTACTCGTGTGATGTTCGACGAAAAAGGAGACAATGGACTTATTCTTTGTGACAAGTATATTCCGGCCGAATTATTGGTGGAGATCTTCTGCAACACCAATCTCAATACTCTGTTGAACTGTCAGTTGGTGTGCAAACGCTGGAAGATGCTGATACAGAGTTACGTCTGGCGCAAGAAGGGAGAGATGGCACTGGGAAAACCATTTCCACGGGGTAAGGACATACCTTGGAATGTGTTTTACTTCATATGCAAGAAAAAACCGTTTGAGAAGAACTTGCTGAAAAATCACTCTGGAGAATGTGGAGTTGGACGTTACTGGCAGATTATCAACCAAGGTGGTGATCGGTGGGCAGTCGAGAATCCACCTGCAGGTGTACCAGAGTTACCATTAACCGAACCAGTGTTTGAAGGAAAACAAAACTGTTTTGTGACATCTTATCAGCATTGCCTCAAAGTACAACAAATAGATTTAATAGCTGAGGGATTTACTCCATATGTACTGGATGTGTTGCAACCACCCATAGAGGTATCGTTAAAATTATATAAAGTATTTGCAAGTTTAATAGCATATAACATATAGCATATAACATTATAGGTGAGTGAGTGGTATAGCTGTCGGTGGGATTGTCCAGCGGTATATGAATGTCAAGTCAGATTGTTAAAAGGAGAAAATAGTTTGAGTGCATGCTCAAACTATAGTACTAAACATAAACTTAATGTACTAGATGTGTTTGAATTCCAGGATAACTTGGAAGGAGAAAAGCAGAATGAATGGTTTCGTGTAAGTTTTCTTAAAATAAAATTGATAGTTTCATTTAATAAGTTCTATTTATTATAAATTAAGTTCGTTATGTATATATCATATATATTGATCTTTTTTCTCTATATATGTTTCATTACACAGGTCTCACATATATTTGAGAATTATGGACCTGGCGTAAGGAAAATTAATTTCTCTCACGGCGGAATAGACAGATCATTCTGGGCAGGGCATTATGGTAGTAAAATGGCTGGAGCATGTGTTTATGTAAGGGTTCCTTCAATTAAATGTACTTATGATGATGAAATTGATACACCATCAATTATCGATGAATAAGATAAGTTTGAAGGTGATACAATAATATTATTCTTGAAATAACATAATAATAAGTATCCTGAATAATTGTACAGAGCTTTCATCTTTAGCAATATATATTGCAATATATATTGCATATATACTATAAAGATATTTAATTATATCTTTTAATCTTAATCTCTTATATCTTAATTAGTTTATATCTCTTGCAAACACATGTTATGCATTTATTTTTATACTAAAATATACTGAGAGTAATCTGCAATACTTATATTTGCAGATCTATATGAAAAAAAAAAAAAAAAAAAAAAAAA